TTTTTTATAAAGGTATTTAAATTTTATACTTTAAATTTTTTTATCAAAAAATTAATAATTTATACTTTTTTAAAAGTTATCAAATTTTTGTTATTTTAATAAATTACAAATAATATCAAAAGATCTGTTTTATAAAATGAAAAATCTCAAAAATTATTAAAATAAACAATGAAAAAAATCTTTTTTTATTTTGATAAATATAAAATAAATAACGATATTAATAAAAAATTTTAATAAATTTGTAGTATTTAATAAAGATATTTATAAAAACTTTAAATGATTAAAGTAATTTTCTTCTTAATTTTTTTATATTAAATACAATAAACAGATTCTATTTTTATATATTAAACAATTATATTACTATAAACAAGAATTAAATTTAATTTATTAAATCTTTTTTGATATCATATATAACTAGAATTTATATTTTATTTATTTATTAAAAACAATCTTTTAAGTAATTTAAAAATAATTTATTATATAATTAAATCAATAAAAAAATTAAAAAAAGAATATACTTTTTAAAAATTAATTAAAAAATTTATGTTTAACTAAAACCCCTCTTTTATGAGAACATACATACTCTTTTAATCTTGAACAATCATCTTTATCTTTAAAAATAAATAATCTTTTTAAATCAGTTTCTAAATTGTTAGTAACATTTATTGATTTAATAAAACTTAAATAATCAATAGGAATTACAAATCCAATATCATGAACCAAATCATCAATAACACATGTTAAGTTTGAATGAACAATCATGTTAAATTTATCATTTAAACTACACTTAATGTTTTTTTCTCTTAAAGTAAATATAATCCCTGGTTTGTTATAAAAAATCATTCTATAAAAAAATTTATAAAAAATAAAATCACTAATTTCTAACTAACTCTTTTAAATGAAATAAATTACACTTTGGTCCTTTTAAACACAATCCAAAAGAATAATCAACACATAGAGATCTTTTAATATGTTTATATTTACAAGTGGGTCCATTTTTACAAAATCCTTTATTGTACCACGGGCACTCAGTGATAACATTTTTATCATCTACGTGTTTATAAGGACATTCATAATTATTACAAACACCATACACATTAAAAAAGAAACACTCAGGCATCTTCTGTAAATCATAATCATGTAAGAAAGTACACTCTTCATTTTTTTTACACAGTCCTTTGAGCCAGTGTTTACAAACAACAGCCGTTGCTAGTTTAATATGAATTAATCCACATCCTCCTTTACAAGAATTTTTCTGATAATCAGGACAATAAACAGGCTTAGTTTCACTTAAGTTTAAAACATTAGCAATATAATCATCAAAATCTAACTTTATTAATCTTTCATCCTTCTTAGAAATGTTTTCAAGATTTGAGAACTTCATGGGGTAAATAAAGAATTTATTTATTAAATGGAAAAATATTTAATCTGACTTTCATTTCAATTCTTTCTTTACTAAATTTATCTTCTTGTGAAAATTTACATGGAGCAGCAACTTGATTATCTTTTTCATTCAGCGTATAAATTTTCTCTTCATTAACTGTTTTATAAAAAATCATTCTAATAAAATTTAATAAAAATTTATTAAATAAAAATTACAAAGAAGCTTTAATAGAAACATAACATTCTGTTGTATTTCTATACAAATTTAAACCAGCACTTTTTTTAACAAAGTTTTTAGTTATTAAACTGTTAGGAAATAAAATCAATGCATGAATTCCTAATATTTCTAAATAATGAATGAATTCTTTATCAAATGATTTTGAAGAATCTTTAAGAACACTTTTAGCGTTAATATGATAAGCAATAGGGCATTTTTGAATGATTTCATAACTAGATTTTACTTTCTTAATTAAGCTTAATAAATTAGAAGGTAAATTTTTATGATCTTCTATTAATTTAACAATCTTCATACATAATGCAAGTCTACCACATCCTGCTGGTAAGTCTTTAATATAAAGATTCATAAATTTAATATCTAACATCATCACATAACATTCTTGTGATGGTAATCCTCTATTAAAGCCTATTTTACATAACACTCTTCTAGTATCTGACCAATTGTTAATAATTTTAACTAAAAATCTCCACTTTTGAATATCTTTAATATTAAAGTCATTACACTCCTTAAGTGTATTAAATACGTTACTTTTAGTTCCAATTGGAAAGATAAAGTTAGTGTTATACCAATCTACTTTAATAGAAGCTAAAAGTTTAATTGCGTACTGTAATTCTGCATTCGTAAAGTCATTAAGTTTCATATTAAAACGATTATTTTGTTTAACAATCTCAAGTTTATCTGATTCTTCATAATTGTATAACTTCTTCTTAAATATAACAAATAACACCACTTCTAGTAATCTTCTTTGTTTTACACTAAATTCATATTCTGGATTTATTGGTAGATTTAATAAAACATTATCTATTATTCCTTTCTTAAGATTTCTATGAAATACCAGTAAGCGTTCTATCTTAATATGCTTAAATTTAGAATCTTTTAAATTTAAACTCTTTAAGTCTTTAATTAACTCACTGTTCATTTTTTAAAAAGTTTTTATAAAAAATATTAAAGAAAATTTTAATATTCTAAATATACTGTTTTATAAACATTTGTTAGTTTTATTTCTTGATATTCTCTAAATCTACTTCTTTTAACAATTCTATTAGGATTGTTAATTTAAGTCTATCAAAAATAACTTTAAAATTTTCTCTTGAAATATCTACATCTTCTGCATCATGAAAACTTGGTTTATTACTTTTAATTTTAGCATATAAAGTAATTTGACTACATAACATAATGTTAATATTAAAATTAAAATTATCTTCTATCAATTTTATACTTGAATCAATATTTTCACTAAATTTACTTAAAGATAAAAAAATAACCACGCAATTATCTAATTCATTAACTAAGTTTTCATTTTTATCAAAAATTTTACAGTTTTTAACAAACTGTCCAACTAATCTTGGCATTTTTTATAAAAAATTTTTA